TCCACCTGCCTCTGCCTCCCAGCAGGCATGGGCCACCACCACTCAGGCGAGCAGCATGATTATACTTACATGCCACCAAATGAACAACTCCCACTTTTTAAACAGTTGTGTGTGCACGTGGGTCGGATGCTGTGCAGCTGGAGTTGCCCCTCGTGGAGAATGGAATGGCCACCCAGAATGTCTTAAAGTGACAGGAAATCATTGCAGATGCTAGCGCATGGACTGCTGTTCAATGAGGTCCCCTACTTCTAATGAAAAGCAGTCTTCAGTCAGCAATCATTGGAGACTGGAGAGATGCTCAGTGGTTAAGGACCCCAAGCTCTTCCAGAGGCCCCAAGATCCGTTCCCAGGACCCACATCAGGCAACCTAGAACATCCTGTAAATCTAGACCCAGGGAGATCTGATGCTTTTGGCCTCTTTGGGCACCTGTATTCACATGCATAACTACCCCACCCCAAATACACAGAGTTAAAGATAAAAATAAAGCCGGGCGGTGGTGTCGCACGCCTTTAATCCCAGCACTTGGGAGGCAGAGGCAGGCGGATTTCTGAGTTCGAGGCTAGCCTTGTCTACAGAGTGAGTTCCAGGACAGCCAGGGCTACACAGAGAAACCCTGTCTCGGAAAAAAAAAAAAGATTAAAAATAAATCTTAAAATTCATTTTTGACTCTCAGGACTTCTACATCCAGCCACAGAATAAACATATCAGAATGATCCCTCTAAAGGTATCATTTACCAAAAACCCTCAACCTCAATAATAAAGCAGAAACTACATAAAGCCACTAATTTGTTACTAAAAGCCTCAAGAGCCTATGTCAAGTGACTTAACCACACCTTGAGGTTACTGTGCACAGTCTGCAATGGAGTGTTTTACCTTTCTATAGAAAGCATAGTTAAGGGGCTGGAGAGATGGCTCAGTGGTTAAGAGCACTGACTGCACTTCCAGAGGTCCTGAGTTCAAATCCCAGCAACCACATGGTGGCTCACAACCATCTGTAATGAGATCTGATGCCCTCTTCTGGTGTGTCTGAAGACAGCTACAGTATATTCATATATAATAAATAAATAAATCTTTAAAAAAAAAAAAAAAGAAAGCATAGTTAAAGATCCCCAGCCACCTTCTAAAGGTTAGTCTCTTCTTGTATAAATTATGTTAAGGACAAAGTTAAGCATTTCCAATCTGTAGAATGAAGACTCTTCCATTTAAATGAATGTCATCTATCCTGCAGTAATATGGAACGAAGAAAGCTTGGAAACTGGGGCCCCGCTTGATGCCTCAGGAGGCAGAAGTTCCTGCCTCCAAGCATGGCAACCTGTTCAGTCCTCAAGACCCACACTGTGGAAAGACAGAGCTGATTCCCACAAGTTATCCTCTGATAGCCACAGGCATGCCATAGCATGGATTTGCACACACACATACACACATTCACATACACATACACACATTTACACACACACTCATACAAACACACAAAACCACAAACCTACACATATATACACTCATATACACACTCATACACATACACACACATACACTCACACACATATACACATACACAGTCACATACATATTCACACAATGTACATACAAACACACTCACACACATACACACATGCATACAAACACACATACACTCACACACACATTCACACACATACAAAATAAATCTAATTTAAAACTAAAACAAGAGGACATTTTTCCCCCAATATGTGGTCGTCATTTATAGCAAAGATGCCTAGTGGTCTCCCACACTCGACATTTCTCCCTATGTGTGTATGCATTTGACAAGCCTTTGGCATAGAATTTTAAAGTTAACTACATCTGATTACAGCTGACTGGTGGAACCCTCAGAAAAATTAAAATTATATTTGAAACATTCTAATACACATTTATAAACATTCAAAATACATAATACGTGCAAATTAGCCTGATGTCTTTACAAAACTTTCTATCAGCAAACACTTTCCAGAGCACAAAGGAGATGAGCCAAGCAACACCAAAGAACTATGTTCATTGAACACAGCCACTCAAACCCATACGGCAACTACCATATTCACATCAACTCAATGCCTTTGTTATAAAACATAAGACAGATCCTATAAGGAAGACCACATCATGTCCATCCTGTGTGTATTAGGGCCTTGCTAAACAGCCGGGAATGCTGGTGCACACCTACTGGTCTTCTGGAGGATGCAAGCAAGAGGTGTAGGAGTTCAAGTCTAGCCTCTGCTACATAGCAATCTGAAGCTAGCCTGACCTCCATGAGACATAATCCCCCCGAAACCCAAAACCTAAACAAAAGCCTGCTGTCACATGAAGGGTTTTCAAAAGTGACCACAAGTCTCAGATCATCAGATCATCAAACTTCCCAAAGAGTCCTCAAAGGCACAGAGCTTTTCCCCTGGCTGGCATAAGACAGGACATGCTTTATACTCTGTGTGTGCATGAGCTGGGGATTGAACAGTCTCTCGCACATGCTAAACCCACTCTCTACCGCTGAGCTACACCCAGAGTCAACACGAGGCGTTTGAAGGGCACCTCTGCAGCAAACAGTGTCTCCACTGTTGATGGAGCTGTTTTCACTTCTGAGCCTTCTCTTCCTACAATTATTAGGTTGAAACTTGGCCCCACCTTTAACTAGAGTTGGGAACAAAGCCTGAATGTACCAAGTCAAACAAAGTTATACAATGAGGTCATTTTTACAAAATGACACTACTTGGCTCATGTTGACAGCATACTGTCTCGGCCCAGAGACTCGACATACAGATCGGGGACTACCTGACAACTCGGCTTCTGAGTCTAACACATTAACAGTGAGAACCCCTCCTCTAACCATTTACTGAATTGCTGGAGAATTAAACAGGCTCTGATCCCATTTTCAAAAGGCTGAGAGTTGACTGACCAAAGACAAGGCTTAAGTATAAGTATACGGTGTAAGTATTCGGCAGTGGGGTGCCTTACTAGCAAGCTCATTCCCCAGGGGTCAATACACCCAGGAAACCTGGGAGGTTTTCTGAGGCTGGGTTCAGAGAGAGAAGAAATACCAAAACAATAACAGCAAATGATTCCACCAATACTCTAAGCTGTATCTGTGGTGTTACCTAACCCATTTAATTGTAGGCTCTCTAAGGGTAGGAGTTTTGCAACTTTGAATCCACAAAAGAATGGGTATAAAAGTCACTGGGAAAAAAAATATGTTTTGTCCCCTCAAGAATTCCTAACATAACTTAGTACCGTGTTATATTATTCTACCAACGCACATATATGTGCATGCAGACCTTTAAAAACAGGTAACCTTTTTTCTAGGCTGGGAAAATGCCTTATCAGGTAAAAGGTGCCATGAAGCCTGACACCTTGAGTTCAATCCCTGGAACCCATATGATGAAGAAAAGAACAGACTCCCACTGTTCTCTTCTGATCTACATACAATGCACATGCATACATATACACAATAAATAAATGTAAAAAAGCAAAAGAGAGAGAGAGAGAGAGAGAGAGAGAGAGAGAGAGAGAGAGAGAGAACTTTTCTGGGGTGGCAAGATGGCTCAGAAGATGAAAATGTTTGTTGCACAAGTCTGAGGACCAGAGTTTAATCCTCAAATCCCAAGGTAGAGAGAACCAACTCCTATAAGCTATCCTCTGACCTCCACATGCCTGCCATGGCATGCTGGTTGGTATTCACTCGCTCGAGCACACATCACACAAATGGTAATTTTAAATATATATATTGAAGGTCAGGGACAGTGAAGCACACTTTAAATCCTAACATTCAAGATGCAGAGGCAGCCACATTTTGGCCAGCCTAGCCTAGATAGCCAGTTCAAGGCTAGTCGGGAATTCTTTAAAGAAGCAGAACGAGGAAGACCAAGAAGAGAAGAAAAAGAAGGAAGAAGAGGAGGAGGAGAAGCCAACCACAGTGGGGGAGGAGGTGGAGGAGGAGGAGGGAAACGAGGAGGAGGAGTTGTTCTTCCCTGCTAACTTTTTTTTCCTTTTGGTTTTTTGAGACAGGGTTTCTCTGTGTAGCCCTGGCTGTCCTGGAACTCACTCTGTAGACCAGGCTGGCCTCGAACTCAGGAATCCGCCTGCCTCTGCCTCCCAAGTGCTGGGATTAAAGGCGTTCGCCATCACTGCCCGCTAACTTTATAGCTTTTTTAAGGATGTCTAAACATGATCACACTTGGTCGGCCATAGACTGACTGGAACACGTATTTGTACCAGTAACTATGTAGATAAAAAGTAGCCCACTTACCCAGTTAGGCGCAAGAGATGATCTGTCTTCCAAAGCGCAACCTCTTAAAAACATAACCTCAGAGTCTTTGGCTAACTTGTAAAGTCAACAGAACCATTTGGATTAAGCAAATTTTTGAAAGCTGGAATTAGTTGCAAGACAATAGCAGATCAGTATCTCTCACCAGGATCAGCTAAACTCATTGTTGTGAGCACCAATAAGGAGACTAGGACGGGTGCCAGATGGTTCGCTCCTAGCACCCACAACTTCAAGCTCCAGTGTGTGTGGCCAGGGGTGTACAGTTACCTAATATTAACACCTACGGATGTGAGTGAGCGGCGGGTCCCAGCTCATGTACAATAGCGATTTGGGAAGGACACAGCAAGTAGGAACTGTTCGGAAGGATGTTAAGTCTTAATCAGAGTTCATCTGGAGGAATGGAAGGGAGAAAAACTGGAGAAGGAACAGCCGCGTGGAAGAAGGAAAGAGTTACTGGATTACCTCCCTGAGAGGGAGTTTTGACTTCTGATGAAATGCCACTTTCCCTCTATCCTGTGGGAGACCAGGGACCCGGGCAGCGAAGGCTCAGCCCCTCGGACTTCCCAGAAGGGAGCGCGGAGCATGGGAGGCTCCTCCAACGTGGACCCCCAAGGGGCGAGGCTCCTGCTCCTGCTCCCCACCGCCTCAAAATACGCGGGGAGAGTGCGGGGCGCAGCCAGGGTCTCCGCGCGCACGCAGGCTGCGGAGGGCGAGGCGAGAGGAGGCGCTTACCTGACTGGAAAGCCGTCGGGGCTCGGCGCTGCCTCGGTCCTGCGCTCCGTCTGCCCAGCGCACCTGTCGCTACTGGGCTGCAGCACCTACAGCTCCGCGGCCCCGCCCCGGCCCTGCTCAGGGCCCCGCCCCCTGCCGCGGAGGCGCGCACGTCCCCCGCCTCGCGCGCGGCCTTGGGGCGAACGTGCTCGCTCCCGGCGGCGTGATCAACTCGTGACCGTAGCGTCGCCCTAGCAGCCGTGCTGTTGCAGGGGGCGTGGTTCCTGTGTCAGCCTCCAACCGGGTCGTTCCCTTTCTGGCTCACCCTATCTCTCTCTGACTAGAGATTGCAGCAGTCTGATCTGAGACTCAAGTCTGGTCTAAGTGCAGCTTCAGGGGAGTTCCTGGTGCTGTCGGAGTAAGTTCTGTGGAAAGGTATTTTGCAAGAGGCCATGCCCCGTGCTGCAAAGAGCTGCCAAAGAGACCTGGCTCAGACTACATTGAATCACTTCACCTCAGTGGACCTGAGTTTCCTCAGGAAAGGATAGGATGAGATAAGAGTAGGTGGTGTCCAAGTTCTCCAGGAGCTGTGGTTTGGTTTTTTTTTTTTTTGGCAACGACGGGAAGTTTTCCTTTATTTTCCTTTGAGACAGAGGAGGGTCACATCAGATACAGCTGAGATTAGCCTGGAACTCACTGTGTAGCTGAAGTGAACTTTGAGCTGTTAGCTCACAACTGCCTGTAACTCGAGCTCCTGGGGATCTGACACCATTTTCTGGCCTCCATGAGCAACTGCACACATAGTACACACTCACACACATATATGCAAACATATTAATAAGATAAAGACAAATCTTTTTTGAAAAGAGACTATAAGAGAAGGGTAGTAGCACACACCCTAGAGTGGATTCCAGCTTCTCAACACTGTCTGCAGGAGCTGTTTCTGGGATGGGAGGAACTGAAGAGGCCGTGAGGAGGCATTGCATTTGGCCATCTGGCCCTCACATTCTTGATCCACCACCATTCCTTTCTGTATGATGCCCTCTGATAGTATCATTTCCTGAGGTATAGTCACATACCAAACGAAAGGAATTCTGAGAGTTTTCATGTGAGTGTTGATTAAGTATTATAAGGGCCCCTGGTAGAAAGATCTGTACAACTCCTAAAGCAGCCACTGGCCAAGGTCCCATGACACATTACCTTCATCCTGGCACCCAGAGGACTGAGGTAGGATTGTTGCCTTCAGTCCCTGGGTGTCTTGTGTTATAGAGTGAGAATAACCCAAAAAGAACAAAACAAAATAACTTACAAAACACTGTTGATGAAAGAGTTTTAAGGAATTGAACAAGTACCAACAACAGAATATCATTCATATATCTAACCTAGACTGATTTCTGGATAAAAATACTGAAGAAGAAAAACTTCAGACAAATTAACTTTATTCAAACATTAAAAGTTTTTTTTTTAAATAAGATATCAGCAAACTGCTCTGACAGCTAGGGAAATGAACTTAATAAGCCAATCCAGGAAGTAATGATATCGGCTTTGCCTTATTTGATACGGTCACGTGGCCGCTCCCTAGTTATATAACCATCTGACTGGTTGGCTGTTTGTGAATGGCCGTCTCAATTCAGAGTTAATCAGTTAGAAGGACTTTCTGGTACAAAAATAACTGTAGGCTAATGGCCTGCCTATTTTGTGTGAACACCATCAAGCTAATAATCCAAGGGCTGAGAATATAGCTCGGTGACAGAGCGTTAGCCCAACATAAACAAGGCCTTGGACTCAGTCTCTCACCTGTAAACACCAGCACTTGGGAGGCTCAGACCCTGTCAAAAAACAAAACAGAAAAGATGACCAGACAACATAGAAGCACAACAGCACTGTTTGTGTTCTCTGTGTGCTAGAACCCAACATAGATGAGAATGTTAAAGAGTATGTTACCAATATGGGACCATACTTCAGCAAATGCTTTCTGTTGTATATGAAATCCCCTCAGTAGAAAACACAGGACCGAGCCAATAAGGAGTCCATTCTCCACAACAACAATATGTGGCCTGTGTTAGGGGCTTTAAATCTTGTTTCAGACACTTACCTACTAGACCACTAACTCCCAAAGGGTCTTTTTGAAAGTATAGGTGGTAACACCACAGGAGGCTTGCATTTGCAGTGCTAATGCTAAACTACCAGGGTTTTTTTTTTAAAAAAGATTAATTTATTTATTTTATGTATATGAGTACACTGAAGCTCTCTCTCTTCAGACACACCAGAAGAGGGCATCAGATCCCATTACAGATGGTTGTGAGCCACCATGTGGTTGCTGGGAATTGAACTCAGGACCTCTGGAGGAGCAGACAGTGCTCTTAACCACTGAGTCATCTCTCCAGCCCACTCAAGTGGCACCAACCTTGACTTCCAGATGGGATGGGACACCTGTAAGAGTCTACTATCATAAATCAGAAGGTAACCTGGGAGGAGCTGCCACTGGTGACTAGTGCCATTGAAAACCTGCTGTTGACAGCACCATCTCCTCCAGGAGCGCCAGCTACTGCTGGACCCACTTTAGCTGCTGGCTGTCTCACACCTGGGACCTTTACTAACCTAATCCAAACAGCCATGCAGGAGCTACAGCTTCTGGTGGTGACTGGTCTAGAGCGGACCACAAGCTCTTCACAGAGCTGTCAACTCGCCTGCCATCTTTCCTTGGTGCTATATGGACATTGCCATCCCCAAAACAGCCACAGCTCAGTGGGTCTGATGGTAGATTGTAGCCCAAGAAGTTCTGCGCGTAGCAAACATATATAGACCCATCTCCTGTGAGCACCCATGAGAGGTCATGCCTCATCTACATTTCCATGGAGATCCTGAAGAGACTGGGAAGGAAGAGCAACCCACTGCTAAAAAGGCTAGGACCAAGATGTTTCAGGGGCTGAAGAGATGGCTCAGCAGTTAAGAGCACTGACTGCTCTTCCAGAGGTCCCGGGTTCAATTCCAAGCAATGGAATTAATCCCATGGTTAGTACACTTAGAGACTAATGGTTAGTACACGGGTCAGACATGTTCGTCTGATCCCAACCATCTGTAACGGGATCCAGTATCTTCTTCTGGTATGTCTGACTGTACTCACATACATAAAACAAAAAATCTTTTTAAAAAATCTCAAAGATTATTTACACACACACACTCAGTTTCAGGGCAAATAGACCACACCAGCTTCTAAAGTCATTGCTCTTAGCCAGAGGTGTCAGTCTAGTCCAAAGAAATGTAGGTGCTTATCTGAGTAAAGACTGGAGGTCCTGGCCAGCCTCCGAGGACTGTCTGCAGCACCCACTGTATACTGCTATACTGTATACTGTATACTGTATACTGCTCAGGCTACTACACGGGGGGGGGGGGGGGAGTTGGAACAATGTGGTCATAAACTGTTCTGTAGACAGTTAAGCAAAATGGAGAGGAAGAGGAGGATGAAAACAGTCTGTGAAAACTGAAAAGCATGTGGCTTTAGTAGTGAATAAAGTCGAGCCAGGCATGGTGGCACAAGCCAGTAATCCCAGCACCCAGGAGACAGAAGGAAGATCATAGATCACTATGAGTTTAACACATGCTGGGGCTACATGAGACCCTGCCTCAGTGAAACAACCAAACCAAACCAAATAACTGAAATTTTAGTGTAAGTATTTGGAAAGTGAACTTAATTATATCTGTCCTGGTGGTGCTTGTATAATAACTGGTAATGCTGGAGTGTCTGTGTGACAGCGCTCCCCACACTCCCCTAGCAAACACCAACAGGATTCAGCAGCCGCAGTCCAGTCAACTCAGCAGTCACCACTCATGAATCAGCAGTGGCAGTTTGATCCAGAAGAAACCATGAGGCTCTGCCAAACTGTTCTAAGCCGGCAGAAGCGGCAAGAATGTTACAAGAAATACTTTGTTACTCTGTATGAAGTTATGACAAAGATCAGCAACTCGATGTAAGGCAAATCAATACTTGAGCATCATCAGCAGAGACTACAGAGGTGAACCAATGCCAGAGCCTCCTCACACTGTCTGTGGGGTCATATTTACATCCTGACATCACAAGTCCTCTCACGTGTCTGCTTCAGCAGATCATCCTCTTACCCGTCTGCCCCAGAAGAACATCATATGACATAACTGAGTTTCCAAAGAAACCAGAAATTTCTACTTCAATAGGGACTCTGAGGCCAGCCTAGGATACGGGAGACCCCGAGTCATACATCAACAAAAGTGTAGTCTAATAAGCATTTGATAGCAAGAAAAAAAATATTACAATTATCTACAGTGCCTGACATTGCATTCTTGGGAAGGTGGCTTAATACCAGGACCTGTCCCAACAAGTGACTGACCTCCTGGCCTGGAACTAGGCAAGATGGTCACTGAGAAGTTCACCAGGAAACCACTGTCATCATGGAAGAAAGCCTCAGAGGGGGAAATGCTGTATCACTCAGGGCTTGAGGAAACTGAACACAGCTTGAAGGCGCTGCTCATCGGATCAGCATGTGTAAGATTGCCCGATGCAGGGTCACTGTGGTGACCCAGTTCCCTGTTTGCCCTGCAGGGGTAAAAGGGAAAGGGTTGTACTACGATTTCTGCACAATTGGTACTGGTCGTAGGATCAGACCACATTATCACCGTTGACCCATACGCCTATCAGATCCAGGGATCCATGGTTACACCCTGGAGATGACTCTACAAGAGCCTGCAGTTCCACAGTAGACTCAGGGGAGCATCCCCGAGTGGAGGAATTGTGACATCCTTCCCTGGGTGCAGGGAAACCAAAAGAGTCACCTCAAGTGTAGACAGCTTGACTGTGGGATTTGCTTTGATTGGTGAAGAGGAAAAAAGCAACTGAAGTGACTCCATGGTTTTAATGAGTGTGGAAGAGTCATCATGATGGGTGATACAGCTCACACGTGTGTATCACACGCTCTCCACTGTGTCACTAGTTAATGCTGTCCTCATGGGACCTTCCCCTGGCAGCTATTTCTAGGATACTTCATTGCTGCCTTTATCACAATGCTCCTACAAGAGAGAAAAAGAAAATGTTGCCCCAAGATGGAAGTCGTGTTTCAGTGACTGTG